TTTTTCACATCAATTCTTTTTTTGGTCGTCATCCGTTAATCTCTTTTTACTTTGTGCTTAAAATTGCTGTTGTGTTGCTGTTATTGCCTGTTATTTGCTGTTGCTGCCGTATCACCGTAAATAGAAAAGCGGAAAAGAATGGGTGGAAAAAAGTGGCTTTTTTTTTGTGAAAATTAAAATTACCTTAAGTTATACCAATAAAAAACCATCTTAGCACTTTTTCTTTTTTGCTTTACTTTTTAACGCACTAAACAAGCCAGTGAATTCAAAACTTGCGGTCAACTAGATTTGTTTTAAAATCTAAAAAGTATTAGGAATATTATGGTTACTTGTAGATCAAATTTAGGATTTTTCTTTAAATGTCATTTTAGATTGTACCTGATAATATTCTTTAACAGGTGGTTGTAAACAACCAAAAAAAAAACATTCCTTTTTTTCGTTTTCGTTTTCGTTTTTTCTTTTTTTTTTTTTGCATTTGAAATAATTAATATAGTTTATGCCTTCTGAGTTTTACGCAATATCAGTGCCAAAGTAACCAAACCAATAAGTTATAATGACAAAAAAACTTTTGGGTGTGATTGTTCGATAAATTTTTCCATCAGGTAATTCAGTAATTCTATCACATTTTCAATTTATCATCTCTTTAAGTAGAGATATTTATTGCTGTATCCTGGTATCTCTCTTTGCTTCAACCTACCGTCTCTTTTCACTTCCAAACCATTGTCATTAATAAGTTGATGTTCTTCTTCCATTATCGTACCACTTAACTTTTTCAGAAAGATTTATAGAGTGTTATCAAATTACCTGCTATAATAGGTAGACCAAGCACCTGTTTCAGTTTCTGTTCTAGACTTGTATACATCTTATTCCTCAGCTACCGTTTTGTAACTTTCTTTATCAATTCTGCTAAAATTATCCATCCATTGTTATCTTATCACTTTCCTGCACTTTTCACTACTTTCCTCTCGTTCACAGAACTTTGCCATTTATTTTTTTTTGTCTGTAACGCTTTTATCATTTTTTGGACAATCGTTTAACTTCAGACACGAAATAAATTTACTCTATTGATTAATACAGTTTTCGATATAAACAGAAAAAGCAAAGTGATCACTTTTTACAGAAGAACAAAAACATTACTCTGTATAGCATTCACGACTGTTAGCTGATTGAAAATTTTTTGGAACAAACAACGAAAAAAAATTAGATGTAGAAGTGAACAGTTCATACGAATCGCTGCAATATACCTAACAGCTTAAGTAAGAACACTTCAGGTATTTTATGCAACAGAATTTCGGATCAACTCGTTTGGTGTCATTGAAAATTCTTCAGCAAGTGACCCGTAGTCTTTTTTGTACAGTAATTCATTAACAAAACTGATTAGTCGATTGGCTCGACCAGTTCCGTTGTCATAAAATTGATCACAGTGACGATGTAACCAAAATGAATACATATCTTCTAATGGTTTGGCAAATGATAGCAGGTCACATGAATTACCTTAAAAATTTATCTACTATTAATAACTGTATTTAATGCAGTAAATGTAGATAATTCATTGATTCCAAATTTTACCAGTTTATATGTGATTTATTTGTCAACATTTTGTTGGTGTTTACTGTCATTGATAAACCAGAAAAAAAAAAAGAAGAGAAGAAAAAAGTTTATAAAGAGAATGCAATAAGTTGTTACCGATTCTACAAAGTGCAAGGCAAAATGTTAACCGTAATTCTTCAGAATCTAAACGTGTCTCTTTATCTGTATTTTGTACAATTAGAAGTTCCTTGACCTGTAAAAGCAAAATAAAATAAAATAAAGCAAAAAAATAAGAAAGAAAAAAAAATAGAACAGAATTGATTGTCTTGCAATTAAACTTACTGCTCGGATCAGTAAAATTAAGAATTAAAGAGACCAGAAATTGTTACTGCAATAATTATGATTTCACGATACGTATACGTGTGTATTAATGTTACGATAATGATTTTTTTTGTTGGCTAACAGCAAAATATATCATATTTCAATTAAACTTATTATTTATAGCTACAAAAGGTGAAAAAAAAATTGAAAAACGAAATAGCTTATTATACCTTCTCGGTTTACCTTATTTTTTACTGGCAGTTAACAAGACAACCTTGGCAAAATGTTTGCACAGAAAGCCACAAATAAAACATACATCAACAAATACATAGACACTCTCACATAAACACATAGAATGCCTTTCCATTAATGGTTTCAACAGGTAGGTTTACAAAATTACAATTTTTGTTTACTGACTTTTCTGAATCTTATCATAACAAACAGCAGTTGTAATAGCTCAAAATTTACAGTAAAAACTGTTCTTCTTTTTTTTTTTTTCAGAACTTAATATTAGTATTTTTTGCTGCGGTTAAAGAAAAAAAAAAGTAAGAAAATTTTAGCAACTTACATTTAAACAACTGATTTGCGGTGTTTTGACTCGACTTGAATAATCCAGTAAAAAAAATATTGGCCAATAAGTGCATAAAATTTCTAGCTTTTGAGATGTTGATACAAATGTCAATACTGGACTATCTAAGCATCGTTGTACACATTCCAGTAATATTAAATCTTCTAAAATAGTGTCTTTATTTTTCCTGCTGCTAATGCAAATCTTCTTTTTTTTTTATTATTATTATTATCATCGGTTTCAGTTATAATTGTTTGACAGCAACAAAAAAAAACAGTGTATTTATTTGAAAATGAAAGACATAAAAAAGTACAAAAAAAAATGTCAGTAAACAAAATATATTGAAAAAATATGGTATCAAACTGATACCATTTGTGTTGATACTACAAATTTAGTTGCTGCTCAACAATTTTGTGACTGTCAAACTTACTTTGATTAGCTAAATGATTGATAATATCTTTGTAGGTACTGCTATGTTTTTTCTTTCGTGGACCTCGTTCTTTCTGTACAGCTGAATGCAATCATCAATAATTGAACTTCTGCTATCAAACAAATAATGAATCAACTTTGAAATATCTTTTTTTTTGGCTTTCTAGTATTTGTGATATTTAGAAATCTGATTTTTTTTCTATTATCAAATTCGTTTGTAGGAAAAAATCTAATTTTTTTTTAATCTCATTAACTGTTATACTTTCAAAGAAAAGGCTGAAATCTATCTTGAGTGACAAATCAGTAGCGCATACTGTTCTGACAATTGTAATTTCAAGCTATTTACAAAGCTACTTATCTATTAATAAAGTAAATTATTGGATTTTTTCATTATACAAAAAATTGCGCACAAAAATAGTGATGTAACTTTTGTATGCAATTTAAATAAAAAAATTACTTAATATTTCTAATTTTGCAGTTTACCAAAGTATATAAAACAAAGGAAGAACCATCGCTACCGCTGAAACATTAAGAACCGTAGAAAAACAATAAAGATTTCCAACTGAGGTTCGCCAAACTATAGTACGCTTAGTAAAACTTAGAAAGACGATATTTATAAAGTTTGAGCACCCAAAGACACAGCGATTGACTGCTTTTAACAAACCAATTTTTTTGAAAATACTCTTAAAAAAAGGTAATGAAAATGACAATAACGTTACATTTATTACCCGCTATGCTTACTTTTAGTTATAAGCAGAATAACTGAACACGGATACGAAACGTTTACAGATTTATTGTAATAGCAGTATATAGATTGTACTGTGTAAAATTTATTTGCCTTACTATGTGGGGGTTAAGTAGAAGAAAGTTTTTGAGATTATTTAGTCTAAAAAAAAAAAAAAGTATGCTACATAGTGTTTTACCGTTGGGATTCATATTCATCTGATAGCATTTTCGAAGTCTACAAGCTGGGCACCAGTTTCTTCTTGTCTTATCAACTGGACAATTATTATCTCCAGCTGTAAAAGCAATTAATACATAAATTTTAACTTTGAAAAAAATAATTTTAGACAGAATTTTGTCCACTATGCAGAATAAAGTTTTTTTTAAGTTTTAGAAAGAATTTTAATGTCAAACATCTCTTAAGAATAATACCAAGTTTAAAAAAATAATTGCTTGTTAAATTTTAGTAAAGATATAATTCCTCAGTAAGAAATGAAATAAAATGTACACTGTTACAGTAAAGCAAAAAAAAAAAAATATTTATTCATGAATTTTTGAAATATTATCGAAACTAAAAAAAGAAACAATGAGTAATAAATTTTCTAATTTATCTGACCTTTTGCTAGTACTAAGAATACAAACAAGTTCTACTGTAATTCTACTGTATTCTACTGTTAGCTTTCTAGATGTGTAACTAATATTGAACTAGGTCTACGTTCGCAAATTACACGTTGTGACGTAAAAGGAGGAAAATCATAAAAATTAAAGCAATAAGTTTCAAAATAAAAGCACTAATTATTGAGTGTTTGAACTCAAGTGACTTTTAAAGTCATCGAACCTCGTTTCAGTTTGATGGCCTTATTGTTCCTATTAGTCGTAATGGAACAAAGGCGTACTCATTACAATCACTGTTTATCGGTGTCAATGTGAGAAAAAAAAAATGAAGCTACCAAACTGAAAGAGTTTCAACTTTTGTGCATACAATTTTTCATGCTTTTTAAGTTTTTTGTACCAATGTGTCTTTTTTCTTCATTCCTTTTCAACAAATAAGAGCTAAAAAATGAACAATTAATTTCAGGTGAGTCTTGAGCATAGAAGACACTTCACTACCGCAATACCAAAAGCTGTCCAAGCAAATTTAAATATAACCATATTATGGTTGCTGTTTGTAGAAAGTTTTTGGCAAATTCAAGCAAATAGCAACTACTTTTGAACATTCCATTTAGAAGCTTAAACACAAACAGATAATAAGTTTTACAAATACAGGAGCTTGAGTGATTTAATTGAAACAATAGTTGTGCATCTGTGTTCAAATTGCAGTGTTTTGTGTGTTGTGCTGAAGTGTGTGTGTGTGTTCAAACAAAAGTGATAAACACCAAACAGAACAAAAAAATTTTGTTTTTTTTTTTTTTTTTCTGTTTTGTTTTAAACTTACATATGCAGGAATAAAGTATGTTTCGTCGTACACTAAAAAATTAGAAAATATAACTGAAAGATATTTGATAAAATAATCACAAACATAATGCAGTTTTGTTCATAAAAAATTCTTAGTATTTGATTCGGATATTTCACATCGGCTGATACATGGCTGGTTTTATGCTTGTTAACGTCAACATACCAAATATTTTCACTTGACTATGATAGACGACAATAAAGATGTTGATTATAAAAGATTATAATAGATTGATTAGTGGTATTAAATCAATTGAAAACAAAAAAAAAAAAAAGGGCTTTTTTTTCTTGTAGGCTAAAGCAACTGAAATGTTGTGATGACGTTACGGGGCTCTGTGAAAAGTCTTCAGACTTGTTGCAGTATGAATAACTTAATTGTTGATTGCGGTTCGCTTTCTTTTTTTTGTTTTTCATTATTTCCTTTTATTTCTTAAAGTTTATTTCAGAAAATTTCACTTCTCTGTTTCTTTCGTACAATCAGTAATTTTTGAAAGTTGTTCATTCAACAAACTGGTAACAAGATTTTCTTTTTTTCTTTTTTTTTTTTTTGAGAGAGAGCGCAAAAGAAACTAAAATGTTAATTTTAATTGGTCAACGTCAAAAACAATGCTTATCTGTAAAATTAACTGTTACTGTCAAAATTTCCGAAGTGAAAATAAAAAACGAAAAAAAAAATGCTTTGAATTAAGCAGAAAAAATGTTTTCTGAACTGTAGACGTTTTTAGGAAGACAGTTATTACCTTCGCTTAAAAAAGCAACTACATCCATCGCAAGCCCAAAGACCATAATGTTTGCCGTAACTTCGGTCACCACATATTTGGCACGGTACTGATGAAGGCATACATCGACCTGTTAATTAATCTCAAATTAGTTGACTATGTGGTTTATACAAAAGCATCTTTTTTTTCAATCAAACAGTTAAATGATTGTAAAAGTAAAGAAAAAAAAAAGATTGAAACAAAGAAATTGACATAAAAACGTCCAGTTTAACTTACCCATTTTTTGTTTCTTTAACTTTTTTTCCTCTATTTTCTTCTGAGTTTGATCTGAAAAAAAGAAGATAACTTTATTTTTTACACTAAACTTATCAATTAAATGCATAACAGACAACCGAATATGTTTGATGTAAAATGAAACACTGTAAGGAAAAAAAAAGACGAACAAACAAAAGACGAATGAGGTTCTATTTTAAATTTGTTAACAAAAGTAAAGACAAGGAAAAAAAAAAGAAGAAAAGGTTAAGCTTAGTTTTGACAGATTAATTGTTGAATAAATCAGTGTAATGAGTCAGTTGAAAACAATTGACCAACTATAGGTTTAGTCTATAAAAATTAGACTATTGTTTTCAATATAGAAGCTTTTTTGTTAACAACTATTATACATTAGACAACATTTTAATAAAACAAACAAATAAACAACCAAAACGAGCAAAAACAGGTGATTCTGAGAAACGGTCAAAAGCATCTAAATTGCTTATTTGTCAACTTTATGTATCCAATCCATCCATCCGTTTCTCGACTATCCTACTCAGACTGAAGACAGTCTTTGCAGACATACGCACACCAATACATCTAAAGTATGTATCTATGCCAATAAACTTATGTATATGAACATAGACCGAAGTGGTAAACATCTAATTTTCCTACAATTCTTTTTGTCTTATAATTTGTTCTTTTTTTTTTTTAATTTAATCTTTTTTATTCAACAGAAAAAAACCATAAACATACTGAAAAAAAAGTCCTTTTTCTTCAACGTCTTTTTTTTTTTTTTTTCTAAACAAAAATTTACTTTTCATAGTTTTTTTTT